CTTTAGTAAAATGCCCTATAAGGTTTTTTAATAGTGTGGGGCTGACTTAATTGGCTCCTCTCATAGTCATTTGAACACCCTGTTGACTGTACCACAATACCTCTAGAGCTTTTAAGAAAAACAGCTCAGAATAGTCAAGAAAGATGGCCTAAAAGTCAGAAAGACCTGGGTTCAAATTTCATCTCTGACAAATACTGGCTATGTGACCTAACCAAGTCACTTAATCGCTCCAAGCCTCAGTTTCCTTAACTATAGAATGAGGGAATTTCCTTCCAGCTCTCTAAATCTATGATCCCATGATTTAATTTCTCAGCACTCTTAGCAAGTCTCCAGAATTATATCTAGCACAGAGGTTACCCAACATACCAGCATGTATTGGTAGAGGGAATTTCCTTATGTGGAAGTTCCTTATACCAATGAAATCGCAAGTCCAGTTCCTGCCTGTCAAAAAAAGGGGGGGGGGGTAAGGCCCTGCTTCCACCAGTTCAGAACATTTATGCAGGATATTACATCTTGGATCCTGCCCTGTTAGGTCCCAAACAGAAAATAAGATTCTAAACTCCCAGAATCATTTGCTTTTGAGAACAGGCCAACCTCTATTTAACCTCAAAAAATAAATGTGTAAATAAATTTATACCCAAGTTCATTTGATTTAGAACATCTGCAATATCAAAGCAAAACAATAACTGTGTTTGGATTTCAGAAAAACTGGAAACAGAGCTATTCAGGCTTGAAATGTAATTAGAAATTGAAAATGAGTCTGGATGTAATTAGGTAGGAAGGTAGGAATGTTCTGATATTTTTTAAAGGCTCAAGTAGTCAAACTTAGTTTCTCAAATAATCAGAAATACCCTTTGTTGAAAAACAATTCAAGATGGAGGATGGATGGATGGAAGTAGTCAATGAATCTGCACCTTTGGGGTCTCTTAGTTTGTTTGGGAGTTTCTTGGCTAATTCAAAATCTCAGACTGGCACAACTATTTGCTAACTATTAGCAAAGGTTAAAATTAGAATTAACATAGATCAATTAATGAGAAGACATTTCAATCCTTCTAGAGTCAGTGAAAAATAACTGACTTCAAAACTTTCAGAGGCTACCCAGATAAATGTAACCAGGGTCATTGCCAGGTATAAGTTGAATCCAGACTAACCAAAATATTTATTTCACAGAGAAGCAAACAGGATCATAGATTACATGCTGCTTCCATCAAGTTACATCTTTATTCATTGTTCCCAAATCTTTAGCCTCCACAACTATCCTCACATTCTCCTGAAAACCAAAGCATTTGCATGTTACCTGGCCCATCCAACTGCGTTTCTGTTCTACAGGTGTCAGAACTCAGGGTCTGACATCATCATCAACCAACATTTACTGAGTGCCCACTTCTCCTGGGCATGATGACACACAGTGTCCCCGGCACAAAGAAACCTAAGATATGGTTCTGATCATCAAGGACTTTGAAATTTAGTTGGAGATATAGGATAAACATGCAGAAATTAATACCATAAAGGCAGCATGTCACAAAACAAGATACATCAAAGCCAGAAAGACTTGATTTTCAATCCTGTCTTTGATAGATACTAGATATATGACTATGAGATAAAGAACCTCTCAGGGCTCCAGCCAATTGTCTAAGATTAAAACTTACCCATAAGTTTCCATACTAAGTATTCTCTACACTGACCACATGTCCAGACCAAGAGAGCATGTAGTAAGTACTGAGTGAGTGGTATAGTTAATCAGTTTCACAGGAACTCAGCAGAAGATTACTAAAGGCTAGTGCTGTCCAAGGAAGTCACACAGAGGAGGCAGAACTTCAGTTGAGTCTTGAAGGAAGGGGTAAGATTTAGAAAGGATGGAAGAAGACATTCCAAGCAGATCAAATGGGCCCTGTTGGGAAAATATGGTACTTTAAAGGGTTAATAAGTAGATTTATCGGGAATAGGGCATTGGAAGCTTCATGTGATATTAGATCTAGAAATAAGAGTGGAAAGAAATAAGGAGAGGCTAAACTGTGTATTCCTTAAATGCCAAGAAAAGGAATTTGGACTTCTTTCTGTAGATACTGCGGAGCCATTGAAGATTTTTTTTGACCAAAGTAATAAACAGGGGCAAAGAGATCTATTAAGAAAAAAAGATTCATCTGCCTCTAAAGTCCTTTCCAATTCTTGGTTGATGATCTGATATTCTAGCAGAGTTGTATAGTATGGCTTTAAACAGGGGAGAGCCAAGGAGACCAATTAGGAGACTACTGCAACAGTCACAGCATGGGGATAGGAGGTTTCAACTAGGGTATTGAGCTTTATAGTGATTTCTCTAATATACTCCACTGATGTATTTCATTAGGAAAAAACTGACAACTTTGATATCACAACAAACTTTCAATCTAATTCATTTTTATTTCTCCAATACCTCTTTTAGCACACACCGTAATGTTGCCTTTGGGATGAAATGTTTATTTTTCTTGTACCATATTAATGATATTTATGATAGGTTAACTTGGTTTTACATGTATTGTCTGTATCATAAAATAGTCTGGCTTCTAATAGAGAAGAAGATCCTGCTGAGTCATGCTCAAGACAGTCTCAATGGGTTAATTAGAAGCAGTAGGGCAGACACAATGCTATCATACTCCTCTTTCATAAAGTCAGAAGAGAACTAGAGATGAGGGAATGTTGCTCCAGAAAACAGGGCAGAGAAGAACAAAGGCATCTGACCCCTCCGAAGAAAGAAGGTGAAGTTAAGAGACATGGCTGAGACACCAAATTCAAACACGCTGTACTAGCAAAGTATTGCCAATGGACTATCTATCTACTGAGACCATAAGATGAGCTAGAGAGGGCTAAGACAGTGAAAGGGCTGACAGAACTAGAGTGGAATGCTGCTAAGAATCACAGAATCATGTGATGTTAGATGTGAGAATATATAGTCCAGGTCAGGCTCCAAATCTACTTTCTTTGCAAACTCTCTGCTTTTTTGTCAAGATATAGATTTTGCAGTCAATTCAGCAATCATTGATAAAGCAACTATAATGTGAAGACATTGTTAGATACTGAGGATACAAAGACAAAATAGCATCTGCAACAGAGAAGTCTAGTTTGTTGAGAGGGATAAGATATATACTCTAATATGTAGATTCAAGGTAATTTGGGAATAGAGCAGTGCCTGAGGGAGCAGCTATGCAGATGGTTTGGAGAATGGTGATAGTGGAAACTTCAAGTCCAATTAGTAGGCTATTTCAATAATACAGGTGAGTGAAGTGATGAGTGAATTAAGGATGATGGCTATGTGAATGGACTAAAAGGAACAGATTTAAGAGATGTTGTAGAGGTTATGTTATTTTTTTTAGGAGACAAACCTTCACAAGTGATTGAATGTGGGAGAGAGAGAGAGAGAGAGAGAGAGAGAGAGAGAGAGAGAGAGAGAGA